ACGAAGGTATCTTTCCTCTTCCATTACCGTATCCTCCCCTGTTACTTCGATTTCTACTGTGGGTTGCATGTGTTTGTTGTGGTAATAATAATAAACAAGCACCCTCAATCAAGCTTAATTAGGTAATAATAATAAACAAGAGCTCTGCAGGGTATCTTCGGTGGGGTTTATGATGTTCAATTTTGGGTAGAGTGTGTTGTGGGAGCACCTGCAATCAAGCTTTATTAGGTAATAATAATAAACAATAACCCTACAAGGCATCTTCGGTGGGGTTTATGATGTTCAATTTGGAGTAGAGTGTGCTGTGGGAGAGTGTTGTCTCCATGGTTTGGCTTTTATTATCTTTGTGACATTTCGACACTGACTTGGAAGTTTCATGAACAATCCATGCATGTGTTGTTATTATACTTTTCTATCAAAATCTTGCATTCTGTCCTTCTATATTGTATGCATGATGGATCCTTGGAAAGTTTGTTGTTTCGTTGCTTAGTATGCTTCAAGAAGATGGTGATCTTAATTGGTGGGGAATTAAGAATCAGCCTGCCCACAGAGAAACCTGGAATTGACTTTACTCAGTCACCATGGCTTATTAACTGTACCTCTCTCACAAGTATTATAATTGTTATATGCTTGTTCATAGACATGGGGCCTGCTCGTAAGAGACCTGCGACAAACCACAATGGGAGTGCTGCAACTAGATTGACAAGATCTAGGACTGTATTGGAATCTGGAAATAATTCAGAAGGGGACACCACCATAAACAATTCCTCAGCACAGTCCCAACAAAATGTCAATAATGTAGACCAGACACCATCAGAAGTTCAACAAGTTAATATGGATGAAGCACATACAGGTTTTGTTTTGCCCTTATACCCCTCCCCTTGCCCGCCAAAGTTTTTATCATTCATCGACCATAGCTTGACACTATTTTTTAACAATTCAAAGGAGCTTCTAAGAGAAATAAGCGTGGCAAGACCAAAGGGTATGCAGTAAAACGCCGCTTAGAAGAAGGGAACAGAATTGGCGGAATAATCATTGAAGAAGGAGCTAAAGCACCAGTTGGCATTAATGAGAAGCTAATGAAGATGGAGATGGGGGTTGTTGTGCGAGTACTAGCTCCAATTAGGAAGTTTTTCTGGAAAGAAGTTACTACTGAAGAGAAGATTCCCCTCTTTGCAAAAATAGAGGTGCTCTGCTCATTTGATCTTTGATTTTCTTTGAATTAAATAACATGCTGGCTGAAATGTTTTGTTTTTGCTTCTAACCCTCAAATGTTGTGGTTATTGATTAGTAAGACAACATAACCAACATGACTAATATTTAGTGATATACAGATTAATACAAGAAATAGATATTGAATGACTTTATTGTGATAGTGGTTAATCTACTTTCTGCTTTGTTTGTCCACTTCCATTTAAACTAACATTGATTTTCAATGCCTTCTTCTTATCTTAATCCAATATGTTAGAGTGAGTTTGATATAGACATGAGTGTCCCATATGTAAAAAATATGGTGGATCGCATTATGGCGGCTCGGTTTAGGCAGTTCAAGTACAACTGTCATTTGCATTACAAGGAAGAGACTGATCCTATTAAAGCACGTGAGAACCCTATGGAAACAGTGAATATTGATGACTGGAAGTTATTGTGTGACCATTTTGAAGGCCCTGCTTTCAAGGTAAACTTTCTAACAATATATGGCACATGTTAAACTTATATAATCACATACTCTAACGATGTTGTTATTGCAGAAGCAAAGTGCAGCTAATGTACAAAACAGAGCCATGGTGCAAAATCCTCATACTACAGGTGCTAAGTCACAGAGTCAAAGGTTATATGAATTGGTAACCACTGTCAAAATTTGTTTATCAAATTCATTGGAGAAATGAAATTATTTATTACTTCTACTAAATTATTATGTTCTTGTTTGCTTGTTGAATAGAACAACAAGGAGGTGCAACAAGATAGCACTGACAATGATGTGGAGCAGAACAACGCAGCAGAGGAAGAGCCACCAGAATTGCGGGTGTATTCTGACACACATAAGAAGCGCAATGGAGAATGGATTAATCCAGCTACCAAGAAAAATTATGTAAGAATCTCTTCAACTAAGAACATAAATTAGAACTGTCATTAACACAAACCAACGTGATAGGCTTAAATCAAATAAAGCAATGTTGTGCCAATTTATAACATGTGGCCTCTTGGAAAACTCCATTTTGTTGGATGTCCTGTTAGTATAATAGTGTAGTTAGATCAGTTTGGGGTAGATTGGCGTTAAATAAAATAATTGAATTAATACGAAAAAACATTAATTTGCGCAGCCTCATTGATACGGGGAAGTATTGCATGTGTGTTTCATACTACTGTTGCTATCTTGTTTGTTATTTTAATTTTCGTTAATAGTTAATCATCATTCATTCATTTGAAAACAAACTGTATTCTTAATTTGTAGGAAGATATGACTGATCTCCGTAATCAAGCCATACAAGATGGAACTGAAGTGTCTGGTGGTGAGATTGTTGAGAAGGTACTGAAGAAAAAGCCTACCTATGCTCGGAACATAAAGCGTACGGCTCGGGAGGTGCAGCTTGAAGCAGAATTGCAAGCCGAGAGAGCACAAAGGCAAGCTGAAAAGGAGAGTTTTGAAAGACGAAGCAAACAGTTTGAGGAGCAGATTGAAATCCAACAACAAAAGATACAAAGTCAAGACAATAAGTTTGAGGCGATGGAAGAATCACACAATCGCCTTCAAGCTACTGTTCTTGAGTTGGCTGCCAAAATGAATGATGTTAGCAGAAGCTGATTCTCTTAGTACAAGGTAACAACCAACTTTCTTATTGCTCTAACCCTTCTTCGTTTCGTTACTATAAATTTATTCCCTGCACTTTTTAAGCTGACAACTTATTTATTCAAGTTTTATATGCAATAGAGGCATCTAGTGATCCTCTTCTTCTATTGCTTTCTTTCTGTTGCTTCCACTGTCACCTTTTTTGTTTTTCTCCTTTGTGTCTTGTGCTGGATTTTGTTCCAGCAGCTGTAATACTTTTTCTAAATATGGGTCATACTGCATCTTACTTAATGCAGAAACTCATATACTTTTGCTTTCTTCACAGGTGATCTTTGCATATAGGGATTTAGTGCCTTGAGAAGATATGAAGAATTCTAGGTGAAGGATTAGTTGTGGAACACCATGATCATTGTTCATTTCAAGAACTTCTTTTTGTCGTACTAAACTAGTAAGTACTCAAGGTGTTTAGTCAAAAGTATTTGGAGTTAGTGGTGGTTTATATACTATGCTACCCATTTCAGACGATGATTGGCTATTTGATATTATAATGAAATGTTTGTTTTCTAGCAAAGTATACAACGAAAGCATATCTACCACTACATAATGACAAACGCTTTCATCCACATAAACCACATTGTGACAACAATTCATTGTGGCAGAATTAATTTGTCATAAGCTCAATTTTGAATTAAAATCATTAATTTGACAAAATGCTTCTTGTCATAGTAACATCAATGGTGACAAAGAGCTTTGTCATTCTTGACATCATAATATGAAGTTGTGACGAATTCGGTTTTGTTACTATAATGTTATGGTGACAACAAACTTTTTCACATGTAATGAAATGTGACGAATGTGTAATTCATAATTTAATTATGAATTATGTGAAAAATGACTAAATCTGCAATTAATAACTAGATTGTGACAATGCTATTTGTCATAATAAAGTTGCAAAATATTATCTCTTATGACAAATTTGTAATTGTGACAAATATTAATGACAAAATGACTTGTCATGTTATACATGTTTGTCACAACATAACCTCAAACTAACATGTCTAATGACAAAACGGTTATTTAAATCTGATAAAATAGTAACTAGTTGTGACAAAAATGTTTATCACAAGAATGTTCTATTATGACAAAAGGTTTTCGTTACAAGAAACTTATCCCTCTTGTGACAAACTAAGATTATTTTTGTCATAATAGATCTATTACCACGGGGTTCTTTTAACAAACCATGTTTGTCACAATCTTTGTCACAATAGGATTGTGGTGACAAAATCGGAGACTATTATGACAAAGGTAACCTGTCACTATAGACCAAATTTGTTGTAGTGTACATACACACATACTGGTATACTACAGGAGTATAGTATACTGGTATACTCCAAGAGTATAGTATACTCCACATGATCTAGACATTACATGTACTTTGTTGAGCTCCAATCAATCTCAATGGTCAATTATAATTTTCCATTAAATTAAACTTTGGGTTTGAGTTTAGAGAATCGGGGCCTAGGGTTTATCCATTAGAGGTTAGGGTAGAGTATCATACCCCAAACTCGGTTAAAAATCATGGTCTAGATAGAGATATCTCACGAAGAGTACCTGAAGTATAATATACTCCAGGAGTACACCAGTCTGACCCATATATATGTGGTTGTGTGTGCACATATATATTTAATATTGTAATTTGATATGCAATATTCGAATAAATGATATTTGGATTGCGGTTTTAAGATTATCCTCCATTTATAAGATAGACTACCATTATTATTGAAGTCAAAATAAAATAATAATAAATGATAATCAAAGATCCAACATTAAAAATGCTTAAGAAAGACTTAGTGGGGTAGCTAACTGTGCTGGAAAAGTCATTTGATTTTCAGAATTTTGCCTCTTGTATGTTTTTTTTATAAATAAATGCAACAAATTTGTTTAGTCTTATTGGTTATGACTCTTGTCCTTGTTAGAAGAGACCAGGGTTCAAATCTTGACACTGATATTTTTTTCAAATAAAAAAATAAACAATTGCAATGACGAAAGTACCCTTCCTACTTTCACTCTCGTTGCAGAAAATTTGAAATGGAAGAAAGTTGAATCATGAATCTCCATCATATATCTTATAGATTCTAAAGCAGAATTGAACTTGTGTGTGGGCTTTTACAATTTGGGCTTAAGTAGTGGGCTGTGTGCAAGCCTCACAGTTTTTCTTCAGCTTTGTCTTTCAACGGAGGACGTATCCAGTATCCACAGAACCCCACAATCGAATGTCCGTTCAATGTCTATGATTGATTGATTGACCCCTTTTTCTTCGACGACAAGAATCTGGTCTGGATTCCGAGTATCGCAGATAGCTCTAGCGTCCTCCGTCGTTCTCCTGTTACTTTGTTTGATTCTTCTACTTCTCACACAATCAGGGGTTCGGATTGATTTCAAAGAGCAGCGAAGTTCCTGCAGAAACGCATTCACTTTGAGCATTTCCTATCCGCTGTAGCTGGTGGTGCCTATTCTCATCTGAAGGAGGTAACGTTCGAATTAACCAACTGTCGCTTAACCCAGATGCCAGAATCGTTTCTACCGATCAAATTGATGGTTTTTGCTGAAAAAAGTTGCAGACTTTTTCCTTTTCTTCGTTCAATTGTTCTCACTCCACTAAGGTTATTTGTTCCTGTAGATTGGTCACTAGAACTGAAGTTTTAATCTTTTGATCTGTGAGGTTTTTGTGTGGCTTTGCTAGTTTGTTTGGCCTCTTATCAACGATGAAGGGTCGATATATATTGAAATAGGTCTGTGGATTCTTTTTGTTTTCTGCTTTTGCTTGCTCTGTAGTTTAGGCTGCTTTCAGCTTTCTCTTGTGTCAATGGGTTGCCGTTAGTTTTAGCTACAGTCTTTAATGCCAGTCTGTTTCCTTAACTACTACATCAAGTGAAGACTACTGCTCCAAAGCCCCTGGCAAATGGCTCAGTTTGATGATGTGATGAAGAACCAAATCGCGGCAATACTGAAGGTTATAAATTTCTCAAGATGCTTGAAAGAAGACAAAATTCCATGCCACATTGAAGATGTAAAACGAAAAATGCATCTCTCTTTCTCTGATCTCTTAGTCTCGCTAGCACTTCCTTTCATCTAAATTGTTCTGTTTCTCGATTGTTCGCAGGGATTGTTCTTAGGGTCAGTTGGTGCTGCTAACAACAAGAATGCACTGAGAAGCAGCAACATCAGTCACGTGTTAACTATAGCAAATTCCCTAGCTCCGGTTTATCCCAACGATTTCGTTTATAAGGTCATTGCAGGTGACGATCTTCTTTGTCTTTTCCTCTTGGTCTGTGCTCAATAGAGCTTCTAGGGCTGAAACTCTTGCGTCTTATTGTGGTACTCTTTTCTGGTGTGGGAAGTTGCTGATAGGGAAGAGACCAATTTGAGACAGTACTTTGATGAATGCATCAACTTCATCGACGAAGCCAAGAGGCAAGGAGGTGGTGTTTTGGTACATTGCTTTGTTGGAAAGTCCAGGAGGTGATGATTTGAGCACTTTTCTCATAAACTCAGAAGAGGCATATATAATCACGCTGTGCAGTATAGTTTTAGTTTCCTAACGTACCAGTCAAGTTCATTCGTTGCTGTTATTTTCCCAGTGTCACCATTGTTCTTGCCTACCTGATGAAGAAGCATGGGATGACGGTATCTCAAGCTCTGGAACATGTGAAGTCGAGGAGGCCTCAAGCATCACCAAATGCTGGTTTCATTTTGCAGCTTCAAGAGTACGAGCGATTTCTTAGAGGTTCATCATCCTGCTAGGTACAGATTTGGATGATCTCTGCAGAATGGTAATGCTTGCTCTCGCACAATGAGGTGGCATCATAATGCTGATGAAGTATGGAGGGAGATTGGAGAGAGATTGCTGTTACGGATTATATACTCTGAGTAGAGTAGCTAATGTAATTATGTTGGTCAAAATCAAAAACTGGTTTTTTGTAGAAGCAATCAAACACTTTGGACATGGAGTTCTTAGTAGCAGGAGTTGAAGTACTTTTAGCGGGGAAGCTCTTGTATATCGAATGTTTGCTGATTACGTTTGTCAGTTGTTGCAGGAAAGAAGGTGAGAATGTGAAGGGGCAGAGGATATAAATCGTGGGGTTGTAAAGAAACCGGCATTCCAAATAGTTGTGTAAGAGCAGGCTTTGACATCTGTATTCTTCAGATTGAATTGGCAACATGGCTGCCCAAAGACATGATTTTTATGAATTGTACCAGAACCAGATGGACTAAAGAGTAAGGGAGCGAATGTCACACATGATTAAGCTCTTTGGTTGTTGTGTCCCAATCAATTAAGAAGCGAGAGGACTTTACATACCCATTTGCTGCTAAGTTCTTGGGAATTTTCATCTTTTCTTTTCAAATGTGCAACAATTTGTGGTTTGGTGGTGGGTTTTCTATGTCAAATCTGAAGTTTGGTAAGAAGTGTTGTAGGTCTTTTAATTAGTCTTAATTAATTCATTACCTTGCTCCATGAAACCAAAGTGGACTAGTGGAGTCGTTGAGAAGTTGACTCGGTTCGTCGAGAAATTGTCTTGGTCAATTAATTAGTTTAATTCATTGCATTGGTCTATAAAATCAAGGCATATCTTCATCGCCGATACACAACATTCTCTAATTAATTCTCCGACGACGAGCATCTCGTCCAGATTCCGAGCATCCGCAGGCAGCTTTACCGTCCTCTGCCGGTCTTCTCCTGTACATATGGGTTCGGATTGATTCCAGTAAGTTAACCTTCTGTGCTGTCCGCCGTAGCTGGTGCGTGGTGCCTAATCTCGTATAGGTCTCGCGGAGGTAACTTTCTTATTAAGTTACAGCTTGCTTGCTCTACAGTTTAGGCTTTCTTTTGTGTCAATGGTGGCCATTAGTTACTTTTAGCTACAGCCTCTAACAACAGTCTGGTTCTCTAACTACTACATCAACTGCAGACTGCTGCACCAAAGCTCCTGGCAAATCGCTCCAGTTGATGTGATGAAGAACCAAATCGCTACTATTCTGAGGGTTATAGATTTCTCAAGATGCTTCAAAGACGACAACATTCCATGCCACATTGAAGATGTAAAAAAAAAAAATCTTTCTTAGTCTTGCTGGCAATCTTTGTGCTTGCTTAACTCCTTCGATCGAACTTGTTTCCGTGTCTCGCAGGGATTGTACTTGGGCTCAGTTGGTGCTGCTCTCAACAAGAATGCACTGAGAAGCAACAACATCACTCACGTACTAACTTTACTGAAGTCCCTGCCTCCGATTTACACCAACGATATCGTTTATAAGGCCATTGCAGGTGACGATCTTCTTAACCTTCCTCTTGATTTCTGCTTTATAAAATAGACTCTAGGACTGGATATACTATTGTGTCATCTTATGGTGTTTTTTGGTCTTACGGTGAGGGAATTAGTTACTGATAGAGAAGAGACCAATTTGAGAGAATACTTTGATGAATGCATCAACTTCATCTACGAGGCCAGGAGACAAGGCGGCTGTGTTTTGGTACATTGCTATGCTGGAAGGTCCAGGAGGTGATGAATTTGACCATTTTCTTCCCATTAACTCAGTAGAAGCATATAATCGTGCTCCATGCTACAGTTTTTTAGTTTCCTTCGCTGCAATTCGAGTTCATTCGATGCTGTTATTTTCCCAGTGTCACCATTGTTCTTGCCTACCTGATGAAGAAGCATGGGATGACGGTATCTCAAGCTCTGGAACATGTGAAGTCGAGGAGGCCTCAAGCATCTCCAAATTCTGGCTTCATTTTGCAGCTTCAAGAGTACGAGCGGTTTCTTAGAGGTTCATCGTCCTGCTAAGAACAGATTCGCATTATCTCTGCAGAACGAGGTGGCAGCGGGATGCTGCAGAAGTATGGGGGAAGATTGAAGAGAGATCACAATCAAATATTCTGGACATGGATGTACTATGTAGTATGTACATTGTTCTTACTTACTAGCAGGCAGCAGCAAGTTAAAACGTTTCTTTTTATTTTATAAAAGAAAAAGATAATTAAATAATGGGCTTTGTGTTATTGGATAACTGTTGACAATGGGCCGTAAGCCCGTAACCCATGCTCCGTCTTGACGCTCTTGAAATTGGAGCCCAGCCCACCATACTGTTACCCGGTAATTAGTCGTAGACTCGTAGTCGATTCTGGTTTGAACTTTGAACTTCTCCACTAAATCCAAAAACAAGATCGATTCGCATTTGCAACCGCAGCTGCCGCCGCCCATCCTTTTCTTCGTTGATCCATTTCTCATCGGAATATCGCCGGAACTAACCTTATACCGACTGCCGCACCTCTCTCTGAGTAAAAGGGTGGTTACTGTCTTCATCGGATCCTAGGTTTTGCCGCGATCTTTCATTTTCCAACAATGCGGGAGTGATACGCGGACTGCGATTTCCTTGTCCGATTTCTGATGCGATACGTGTGTGGGTTTTCTGTTCTTGCAGGTTGATTGTCTTCTCATCGGGATGGATCAGTCCTCCTCTGGCCCAATCACGAGCGTTTCGGTTCAACCAGTTGATCAAAATGGAACTGAACCCTCTCCAGAACTGTGCCAAATTGAAGAGGTAACCCTGAATTCAGAGTGCTGAACTTTTCTTTCTTTGGGAAACACATAGCTTCTTTCAGTGTGTTAGTTAGGGGTAATATCATGGCGATTGTCCTGTTTTAGGGTCTGTTCTTGGGTTCAATTACCGAAGCAACTATGAAGGATGCACTCAAACAAGCCAACGTAACTCACATTTTAACCGTCGCCAGCTTCTTACCTTCTTTTCCAGAAGAATTTCAGTACAAGGTCGTCAATAGTATGTGAAAAAACTTTACCACCCTTTTCAATGGTTTTTGACTTATTGCGTATGTCTGGCTGATTGAAACATTGAACAACGCAAAGCTTTCTCACTGTTCAAATCAAGTTACAGTCTTTGATGTAGAATCTAAAGTGTTTCACTATGTAGGAACCTTATATTTTGTCCTGGTGTTTCTCCAGTTTCGGACAGCGTGAACACGAACATTGCACAGCACTTCGATGATTGTTTCGATTTCATCGATGAATCTAAACGACTTGGTGGTGGCGTGCTCGTACACTGCTTCATGGGAGTTTCAAGAAGGTGAGAGATTTCAATCAAGTTTACCTTATTCTTAATGGTTTTGTGGACCCCAAACAAGTTTCTTGCTTGAAAATTGGTAGTACCCTTCTTATCTGCCACAATGGTCGATGTAATGTGCAGGTAGCTGGTATCAGCAAAGCATTATTAGCAATGCAATCACATATGCATAAAGTAGTTAGCTATTCTGTTTCGCAGTGTGACTGTTGTTGTTGCTTACCTGATGAAGAAGCGGCATATGAGCTTATCCCAAGCCTTGCAACATGTTCGGAGTAGGCGGCCTCAGGCTTCTCCCAATCCTGGATTCATATCACAGCTGCAGAAGTTCGAACAGTCTCTTAAAGGTGAACCTTGAAACTAGCAAAATGTCGTCATTCCAATCCTTTAATAACATTTTAGTCCATGGAACTGCTGCTTATGGAGTAGATTATCTATTAGGAATTTGGGATCAGTGATTGATGCTTCTCATTTTAGACATATTACATATTCTTCTGACTTCCCATGTGACATTGTTCGAATGTTCACTGATTACTTCTATCTATATTTATGCTTTCGTCACTTGCTGCACCAAAGAAGGTGAGAATGCAAAGGGGCAGAGTATCTAAATAGCGGCATTGGAAAGAAACCGGCATAGCATTTTCCAATGGTTTTGTAAGAGCAGGCTATACATCTGTATTTCTCAGATTAAAGTGGCAACATGGTTGCACAACGAACATATTTTTTTATGAATTGTAACAGAACCACATGGACTAAAGAGTTATAGAATGAATGTTGCATATGATTAAGCTCATTGGTTGTTCAATCATGAAGAAGCCAGAGGTTCTTGTTGAGATTTCTGGAAGTTTTACTTTTCTTTTTTAAAATGTGTGTAATTGTTTGATCTTGCACTTGAACAAGGCTGAAGTATGTTGATTGTCATTATCGTTATCAAGCTACATTGTCATATTGGCATGAGGTACCTTCTAAGTAGGGATAGCAATGGCTGGTTTTCTTACCATCCCCATCTTATTTTCAAAATCCAAACACCTGTCTGAAACCCATCAAATAGGGCTAATAAACTATAAAGTAACAAAGATATCGTTGTTAATTCAAATTCAAACCATCCAATCCTACGAATTTGTCAAGCCATAACACAATCACAATTTCTAGCATTCAATCATTAAAATATTATATATATATATATATATATATATATATATATATATATATAAAGACATATTCTTTGTGGGACGAATATGGATGTGAGTATAAGGTGGAGAGTCTAATATCATACTCGCCTCATCTCCATAAAAAAAATATTTTTGTGGATTATATCTTTACTCTCTCTGTACCTAGTAAATACAAACTAGTCTCCGCATTGACTGGGTCAGAGACAATTAGGTACATACTATCGTATTGTCATCCCTACTTCTAAGATACATGGAATTCAATCATGGGGCATGACAAAACTACTTTCATCAAAGTTGGGCTAGTGTTAAGATTGTGTCGTACGATAGAATTCCATGAATCTTAAAAGTAGGGATGCGAAATTAAATCCACGATTGTGGATGCCTAATTGAATTCCATGTATCTCCCACCATGACCAAAAACCAAATTGGATCGTTGGTAATCTGGCTTTCAGTTAAAATTGGACATGTTATATGATTTTATTTTCGGTTTGACTGGAAAGTCGAGAACGAATTACATACTTAATTATGGCAACAAAAATGTTAAAATCATGTAAAATATTTCATAAAATAAGGGGTGTGAAATAGTGTATTTACGTGTCATACGTTTTCACAAGTAAAAACATAAACTGAAAACATGTTTAGTTCAGTTTTCATATGTAGTTGTGGCAACAAAAGTTGGTAACACAACTAAAATTAGTTGAAGATAGTGAAACCAATTTAAGTAACTTTTTTGTTGCTTCCAAAAGTTGTTTATTGTTGATCCAGTTGTTAGAACTTAAAATAATTTAATTCAAAGGTGTCTATAATAATCTCACTAGACTCACTTTCTACGTATCTTTTTCTCTCTCCATTTTTCGCATAACTCATCCATGAAATCTTATTGCCAATACTAGTTACATATCTTTATCTCTCTCAAATTTATCATAACTCGTCATACCACACTATTCATCCCACTCTTTTTCTTCTTTTGTCTTAGTCTCAACATTGATACTAAACAGGGTCTAAAGAAGTAACTGAACGTAGGAGTGAGCAAAAATAATCATAACCCAACCCACCCATCCAACCCGATCCAACGCACCTGTATTTATCGCTAAAGCTAATATTTAAGGTTGGATGAGATTTTTTTTTTTTTTTTGGAACCCACGGGTTGGGTGAGTATTTTGGGTTATACAACCCGTAGATACTTGACCCAGCCCGTGTTACAACTATATATTGTATTAAGTGTTCGTATCTAGATATATTTATGTCATACAAAATAGTATATTTGTGCGGGATTTGGATATTTTTTCATATTAGACGTATTTAGTATAGACCATTTCACGTTGAGTTTTTGTATGTAAACAATTTTAGAAGAATAACATATTATGGATGCGTTAGTTTATATTGAATAATGTTTATAGCTTATTTTGATAAGTATTTATGGAAAATACTAATGAAGCAAACAACAACTTATATGCATTTTGATGTTTTTCGCTTTGGTTTATTTGCTTGAAATTTTAAGTTGTGTTTTACTTAAAAGTGTAGTCCACCCGACCCAACCTAATCATAAACAAACTGTAGTGTTGTACTTTTTTTTATATTTTTGTCGAGCTTTGGATTCGGTATTTTCTATTTTTGTCGAGCTTTGGATTCGGTATTTTCAAAACCGAATAGTATTGGTTGGTTGATTAAAACGATTAAACCCGAACCACCGGACCCATGTACGTACACTCCTCACTAAACACGTTTATGTTTCTAGTTGTCAACTTCCACTGTGATTTCTCAGAATTACCAACTAAAATAGGGTTTCTGTTTTCTATTTTCATATTATTGTACATCTGTTGTCACTATTGCAACAACCAAACTAGGCTCCCCGTGGCTCTCCTCTCCACCATTCCCCCTACTCTCCCTGTTGGGTTTTGCTTGCTCAATGTTAGGCCAAACATGCCATACGTCCAAACATGGTAGCATAGTAGGGAATATAACATATAACATAGAAAGGAATATTATACCAAAGTTACTACCTAGACTACGTACCGCGCGCAAGCAACATGTATGGTAGTAGTAGATACTAGACATAAGCGAATGATCAATACGTTCATGAAATACGAGCCATGTACATTTAACACCTCCCTCCCCTCCTCTTCTTTTACTTTTCCCTTCGTTCCCTTGCAGTACATAATAATGGATACAAACTTCCATGGTAAAAGAAATGACAATGTATCTTGCTCAACCATTACTGTATACATTCAATCGTAAGAAGCTCGTAGAAGGAAACTAAGTAATACATTATGGGCTTGATGGGACGACGTCGTAGATCGAGTTACAGCCGGCCAGCTACGGTGTGGTGTTAAGGGTTTAGCTAGGGCGCGGCTGGCTGTAATTGAATGGTATTCACCCCTTCAGATCATAAACGTGAGCCCGTAATATCTAGTAGACAGAGAAGCTTACAGCTAGCTAGCTTGGAGAAGGAAAAACTACACTATAACTGTATAAATCCTCACGAGACTCCAACACTTAGCATTTATTGTACGTATACGCTACATTCACAAAAAAAAACATTACCTTTTTTTTTTTTTTTTTTACTTGTTGAAGTTTTTCACCCTTTGTGAACGGACTAGCTAGCTGTAGTAACGTCACCTTTCCCTTCTTTCCCCGTTATCCTTGTATCTTGCACGAGTGAAGCCCGCAAAAGCTTGGCCTATAAATACCTTGCCCTTTTGATTTTCCCACTCCCATCTCTCACCAAAGGGAATATTTCGATCTAGAGCCATCGGCAACAAGAAGATCATCAAGAGAAGAGAGAACATACATCGTGTACCATATTATTATGGCTCACATCGCGGTGGAGAGAAACCGGAGAAGGCAGATGAACGAGCATCTCAAGCTCCTCCGCTCCCTAACCCCTCGCTTCTACATCGAAAGGGTATATTTATATAATACCATAGCCATCAATATCTAACTATGTTACATATATAGCCAAAATCATGGGTTATAATTAACAAGCCTTTGGTTTGCTACACATGCATCTTATCACAACTTAATTAGTTATAAGATGTATGACTAATTGTTACTTAATTTTCGCTTCTTCTGGAAAATGAAGGGGGACCAAGCATCGATCATAGGTGGAGTGATAGAGTTCATCAAGGAGCTACACCTCCTGCTCCAAGCCTTGGAGTCCAAGAAACAACGGCGGCTGAGTTTGAGCCCCCGTAGTCATGCTAGCGCTACTGTTAGTAGCCCTAGCCCTAGCCCTCGCCCAATGTTGCAGCTGATGCCTTCTGCTGCTGCGAATGATCATTTCAACAACCATCGCAACCCGTTTCCATCGTCGTCGACGTCGGGGTTTGGAGATGTAAAATATGAGACTCCTCCGACGACGACGCTGCTGGGTTCGTGTTGCAACTCGGCGGTTGCTGACGTGGAGGCCAAGCTGTCCGGATCCAATGTGGAGCTGAAGGTGATCTCGAGGCGGGTTCCCGGGCAGGTGGTGAGGATGGTAAGTGTGCTGGAGATGCTTTCGTTCGAGGTGCTTCACTTGAACATCAGTAGCATGGATGACACCGTCCTCTACTCCTTCCTCCTCAAGGTATCTATTATACCAAGTATACAACCATTAATTAACGGATGATCAATCTTCCAGTTTTTTCAAATGTACGTACGTGGATGTAAACTGCAGTGGAACTAGTAATTAGCTTGATGATCCGGCGTTCATGATGACTAACAAATGGGACGAATTAATGGGTGTAGTAATTAAGCTAGCTAATTAAGGTAGTTACTGATGAGGTTGGGTATACAATGTAGGGTTTAATCTTTATTATTGTGTGCGTGGAATTTAATGAGGGAGTACGGGGTTTGGTGAATGCACTGATATATGGTGTCATTTTCATTTGGATATGTCTCTCTCTCTCTCTCTCTGGCTCGCTTTGTCTGACAGATGTAGACGGAAAACACAGAGGAAATATATTCCCGGCCATTGCTTTAATTTGCTTGTGCAACCAGCCAGCATTAACTATTATTCCCCTCTCCGATCGACGGCCGTCCCTTTCAATGCATAGATAGATATGTGCTTGTCAGTCAGTTCATCCAATTATAATATAGTTATGCAGATATAATAATATACACAAGTCCTCAAAGTGGGGTGCCACTGCCACCTCAAGGAAAGGATTATGCACTGAGCTAGAGATGTGAATTAACGAAAGGGTTTTAATTTCTTGGTGTGGTTTGCAGATAGGGCTGGAGTGTGAAGTAAGCATGGAGGAACTTGCAGTTGAAGTCCACCGTACTTTCTTCTCTCCGCCGTCTCCTTCCACCGCTGCTGCTGGTGGTGGTGGTGGTGGTGGTGGTGGTAATCACCACCGTGACATTTACCCGAACCAGCTGCTTTGTTTGTAGACTGTAGCACTAGTACTGCAACTCAGCCTAAGAAGTACTACATATATATACATTGTTTGTTGAATGTGATGACTACATTTTGCAAAATGTTTCCAATATGAGATTTACGTCATGGGTGGTACAAATTTGATAATATCATAATACAAATAATCTTATCATTCATTTTCTATTAGAAAAAGAAGAAAAAAACCGGATCCACCATAATAGCAAGGCGGAAAGGTTTGTGACTTGGCCCATCAACCTCTGCTAAGCACAGTTTGTCCATCCACATTTTCAATCTGGACTCTGGAGCCCAACTTCATACCGTGGATCCAGGCATATGGATGCGTGTCATGAGAGATGCCATGAATAAAATTAAGCTCGTTTACACATCTATAACTTGCTTATCAGAATTGAGGAATATGTCTCATGGAAGTCGCCTCATTTCAAATGGGTGATTTTTTAATTTTGATGGCTCTGTTCACACTACCTGCAGTATTGCTGCAATATGTGGTTTGATTCCAAATTATATAGGATGTTATTTGAGAGTGTTTGAGTTGGATTCAGATGTGCGGTCCAACTATGTAGCATAGTGGCGGATTTTGGGGAGGCCTTCTCGAATCACGATCTAGCCCTACTCTGGTTTTAGAGATAGCATCACACGAGAACTGCTTGCTTCAAGCAATCACTGCCTCATTCGTCCCAGTCCTAGTCGGTATCTAAAATTCTATCAAATGCGTTTCATTGTTCTATTATGTTATGGATCTGCCGGTAATACAAAGATAGACGAGAGAGCACCAGCATGACGCCACTATCAGGCATTTTGATGATTTATTCTCGTCTTTATTCAGTGGCAGAGGGAAAGGGTCAGAGGGTGGGTCTCGGAACCCACTCTAGCTCGAGGCGAAAATTGGTAAATTAGTTATAATATTTAATCTGGTATAAAAAAAATCATACATATTTAGATGAGAATGATTGACTTTTTAAATATTTTATGTATGATTTACAAGTATGTATAGGCAGTGGCGGAGCCACATGTTGAGGAGAGGGGTCCTAGGACCCCACTTGGGAAAAAACGGGACAACAAAACCCTTTAGATATGTAGGGTTTAGTATGATCTTTCCTATTTAGGACTCCATACTTTTGTCGATATTAGTTCATTTAAGGATACCCAATTTAAAATTAGATATACAGACTAAAATGTTTTAAATTTTTTAAGGACCCCAATCAATTCAAAGTCTGGCTATGCCACTGTGTATAGGCATATTCAATGAATTTATAAAAAGCTATGTACAAATGACAATGGTGCATATGATCTGCTTAAAATTAAAAATGTACTTATTCATTATCTGCAACAAATTTTCACCAAGTTATAGCTAATTTGTAAAAATAATTTTATTTCAATTAATGGTAGGGGAGTGTAACAAGTGGATCCTAAGGATGAAAAATGAGTAAATTAGTATAATAGTTAATTGAGAATGAAATTTAGGGCATTTCTAATTGAAAATGGTTGACCGAGTGATTATGTGTTCGAATCTTGGCAACCCCATTTTGTTAAGCACATAATATTCGGATTTGTGAAAACTTTAAGCATACATAAGTTGGTTTTCGTTAGCGGTGAAGTGTTAGTAAATACTAAATATAGTATAAGATCCATTATTATATCTTTCCCAACAACTTGAGTTATTGATACCAAACAATCTTGGCAAAGAACAGATTCAAAAGAAAATGTCTAACTAAATCATGAATATTTTTTTGATACATATAGAATAATATTATTGATAGTTTCGACATATATTTAAGGCAAAATACACTTGTGTAGTCAAAACTATCACCTTTGTGCCACTTATAGCCACTTTTGGCGAAATACCACTAATAGCCACTTTTGAAAGATGTTGCGTGCCAGATATAGCCATTTCTGTTAGAAACTATAACGGTGTTAATAACACCGTTCACTTATTTGACGGTCGGCTGACATGGCGCTAATTCAGCGGACACGTCAACGATAACTAAGCAAATAGTGACACGTCAGCTTAATAATTTATTTATTATGTAAAAAAATTAAAATTCAATCTAAAAAATTAACCCTTATATTCCCACCTACCTTATTCGCACGAGCCTTCCTTTTTCCCCATCTCTTGCCAGAAAACGAAATTAGGGTTCTTCCCCAATTTCTCTTCCCCGCGAATATCTTCCACATTCTGATCGATTTGTCTATTACTCCTCATCATTACCCACCAATCTTCTTCTACTTTCTGAACGGTTCGACGATTACTCCTCTTCCCCAAATCCCACCTTCTCTGCCGATTCGTGACCCCGGAATCGGGATTTCTCCTACCCAGAACTTCACGCGAAGGTACAGCCATGTCGAAGCGAGCATCTTCCTCAACTTCGACTAGCATCAATAGCCGAGGGGCGGTACTCTGTTGGCACAAGACGCCATGTGTGGTCAATACATCCGGAACGGAAGCGAACCCAGGCAGACAGTTCTATGGGTGTCCATTTTGGATGGTAAGGAGTTTAGAGATGGCTTTTGCAATTGTCATTGATGTATGTAATAAGTTGAATGCTTGTATGGTGCAGGACGAGAAGAAGAACTGTCGCTTTTTTAGGTGGGTGCGAATGAATGTGGATGAAGATAAGCAACATGACTCTAAAATTGGGTGTTCGACTTTGAATCTTGAAGAAAGTTTGAGGCTAGCTGAGTGTAAGGCGGAAAGGAGGAAGAAAGAGAAAAACTTTGGGTGAAGAGCTATCAAGATGGATGAAGGCACATGAAATTATGCTAGCTGAAGGAAGGAGAGTTAATCATGATATCCATGTAATTCAAGATTTATTCACAATGATTGTCGTACTGAACCTAATATTGGTTATTCTTCTGTTGCACCACGTTATTATGTAGTATCCTGCTGCAAATCGATTATTGTGTTGTAGGAAATGAATCGACATTGTTGATGTAATTCGACATTGTACAAGTTCTCGTGTTGTGACCTTCCCCGCCACACTTCTTGCAATGGATGACTGGCCCCCTTCTAACCACCTCCTCTCATATCTCATTTCGTGCAGGCCAAGCTTATCTACCGTCTAGACAAGGGATTACATTCTTGTATGCATGCTCAGCATTGTAAATATAGTAGGTGGTATTCACGAAGCTGTCTATCTCCTTCCTCAGATGAGAAATAGCAGAGATAGCATGGCAACATGAAATGCCACTCAATGACCACCACCCACACGTGCAAGTCCTTGCTCCTAAGTCAACAATATACCATGCACTCCCCATCTTTACCTCACGTTGATCATTCCTAGTCTGTCTTGTCAAACATAACCTAGCCAATGCTTTCTCTTTCTCAACCCTTTTTCTAATCCTAGGGCGTGATCACAAAACGGATCATACTGTGGTGCATCATCGAATATGTTCCTACCATCCGAGTCAGATAGGTTAGGTCTCACATGGTTTGAGTCTTCGGATCCTCTATAACTCGAATGGTTTGAGTTTTCTCCCCTTGTTTCCTGGATTGGAGGTGCCTCATTAGGTTGGACTCCTTCCTCATCTTGAGAGGAAACAGGATCTTCCACTTCGCGTTCATCAGCCAACACATCATCTTCACAATCTTCGTCATCGGATTCCTCTTCTTCAAAAACGTCCAGCCGCTCGACCTCCTCCCCATGGCCATCAATCCTCGCCTTCACCTTCCTTTTCTTCATCTCCCCATAAGCTCACAGGTTGGACCTTGCTTCGTGGTATTCGTCGTCAGAAGTATCTGCATCATCTAAGTCATATACGTGGTATATGTCTCGAGCAACAAAAGCTTCAATTCCATCTTCTGCAGGCAAGGACACATCTGATAAAACCATAGCCTCTGGATTGTTCTCCCCAAAAGTAGAGTCACAAGAATCAGGCATCTGTCATTACCATTTAAAATGTTTTTTAATCACCATTAACCACTTGATTAAAAAATGCTACCAAACAAATGGAAAACCACAACGAATAAAGTGTTCAATTCTAGGGTTTGTGGGGATCAAAGAGGAATAGACAATTCTAACCCAGTAAATCGACTAACTCACCTTCAGATATGGGGGCAAACTCGCCAAAAGGATCGATCTAGTGGTCCCGAGATTCCTCTGTCGTGTCGCTTTCTTGTCTTTACAGCTCGATACCAACCAAAAAAGGAAGAGAAGGAAGAAACTATAAGAACCTTCACCTCGCAATCCACAGCCACAATAACGAAGCAAGAAAAGAACCTTACCAGTCGCGACACACGAGTGGGAGCACAATTCCCCCTTTCAAGTGAGATTAGGGTTTCGAGGAACCCAGGAAAATCGCGTCTGCTACGAGTCGATTCCGAGATTCCTTCAAAGCATTCAGCAGAAAACAAGCTTCGAAGGACTCTGCCAAAGCTCGTCGCCGGTTGGTCAACCCATCGGATGCATGTATGTTTTTATCGAAGAAGGAGGCGATAGGGTCAGATCGCTCAATGGAGGAAAATCGGGACTGGAGGAAAATTGGTATATCGATGGTGGAGGAAGGAATAGAGGTGGGGTACGCTGGTCGTCGGAGGCAGATCGTCGACTTCGTCTCCTTCGTCGCCTTCGTCTTTCGAAGATGGGAATAAGGGTGGGTGGATTCGAAGAAGATGATAAGACAGAGTAAAAAGATGGGTGGGTAAAAATTAGGGGTTCTGGTTTTTTTTTTTTTCTTTTTTTGATTATTATCCACGTGTAAAACTCAGGCGGGCCACGTAAGCCTCTCAGTTTGCCCAGTCACACTTAACGTTAACAGCGTTAAAGAATTGGACGGAAGTGGCTATTAGTGATACTTCGCCAAAAGTGGCTATAAGTGGCACAAATGTGATAATTTTGGTTATACAAGTGTATTTTGCCTATATTTAATTTACCAAGTTTTTAATAAATACAAAATTATATCATAAATTATTTAAAAAGCTAACAAAACTATTTTATCGTATATATTTTTTATAAATGGACCCACCCTCAATAAAATTATGGCTACACCACTGTCTTTACTATGCATTGAATACTTCTCAAATAACAATTTACAAAATAAAACTATATATCAATCATCAATTGGAAGAATTCCAACTCCGTAGAGAAGGTTGATGATATTT